TTGGTAGTGAGTGTCTTCATTTCCCGTTGCCAAGTCAACTTCTGTTCACCGCGAGCCTTGAACCACCGTACAGAAAGGTGTAGCTGAGAAATATGTATTATCCGAGCATTAAACGCGCGTAGCTCAGGCAGAGTGAGGAATTGAACCGCTCAGCCCCGTTATTTCATGCACCAGGCCCCGATGGCTTGCCACGTGATACGCATGCCAGCCCACCGAGTCTCGCGACGTGCGTTGTTTGCGCGCCAGGGGTGTGGATGGAAGGAGAGAAGTGGCCAAGCGATGACTTGGTCGAGGGGAATAAAGGCCCTGACTTCGAAGTTGGCCTCGGTTGAAGCGTTTTGGCTCCCTGGTTGGGGTCCGAGAGACGATGGACATGTTTGGCTGGATACACTTGTTGATATGGCTAGGAGCCGACCTCAGTGGCGTTCGTGCTGTGCGTTTCTTTGTCCCACGTCATCTCTCTTAACCTCACCCTCCAACCACGAGCTCATTATTTAGCATTTTATAATTTTGCACAGTAAATATTTTTCTGCTCCATAGTAGCCGGCAGGTAGCTTACCGGTAAGGTGCCCATCCGTTGCCGGTAGCTCAGCTGGCTTGCACCTGTTGCATTTTATTCCCTTTTTTATATTGCGGCACGGTAGATGAGGTGCTTCCCAACTCTAACTAACGTGTATAGTGTGTGTGTGTGTGTGTATGTAGCTTTTGCCCGAGGCAACGCAACTTATTCAGTGCTATCTGCTGCTCTAGGGAGCTGGCATGATTATCACTACATAGTACTCGCCGATGCACGTCATCGTTGCGGACACGCTGGTGCCATCCGACACCAGCAACGCTCCGCAAACAACGATGACCAAAGACTTGATGGTGCCTCAGGTTTTCATTACGAAAGGGCCAAGTCCCACACCCATACTGCCGGACGGCCCTCACTGTGGCCTTGTGTACACGGGCTTTCAGACAGAACGAGACTCCATTCTTTCGCCAAAGATGCCGCAAGTTCAAGAAGGCAGTTCTGGGCTTTGCAATGCGCGAGCCGACGTCAGTTCCTATGCGCCCATCGTTGCTGATGCAGTTGTCAATATAAGTGAATTGTCCAAGCACCCCGAGTTCCTGGTTAGCAAGTGTCAAGAAGTCATAAAGTGGCTAGTGGTCCTGCAGCAACACTTTGCATTTTGAAGGTGCGAAGTGCATACCAAGTAGTGGGACCAGTCTATGCAGGCTATTCAGGGTTGATAGTGCCGCCGCAAAGTCGTCGAAATGCAAGACGATACCGTCCGCATAATCAAGATCAACTAACCTTTCACCAGGCAGGACCTCAATGCCTACATCGTGAGACTCCGCAAGTGAGCACTCTATGGTAGAGTCTACAAGGAAAATGGGGAAATCGGACAACCTTGATGAACGCCACTTGTGGTCGGAAAGCTATCCGATAGGTCACCGTAGAACCTGACGCGACCTGTAGTGTTCGAGTATAGAGCACGTAGGATGTTCACGTATTTCGTGGGAACACCTTTCCGCGCAAGTATTTCGTACAAAATCGATCGGTCGACTGAATTGAACGCACTCTTGAAATCGAGGAACACAGCTATTGTCGGACTACGGTATGCCTGGTGCTGCTCTAGCACCTGCCGCAAAGTGAATATGTGATCTATACAGCCACGTCCTGGGCGGAAATCAGTTTGTTCTTTCCTAATCCACAGTGAGGTGAGGAACGAGAATCGAGGCCAGTACTTTGGTTACAACTGGCGTTCGGCTAATACCCCTGTGGTTAGAACAGTCTGTGCGACTGCCCCTCTTGTATATTGCCACTATAATCGATTCGTTCCGATTAACCGGGACGCCCTCTCCCTCTTAGACACGGTCAAATAGGGAGGTCGGTGCTTTGCAGAGGACCTCACCCCTATCCTTAAATAGTGCAGGTGCGAGGGAATCCGGACAAGCGGCACGAAAAAGATGGACGGCTGCGATCGCGTTGCGGACTAAGACCTCCGATGGAGGCTGTACACTAACCGTCCATGGCTCGTCTTGCATTACCTGAGTAGGAAGAGATCCGGGAGCAGGGGCTCAGTTGAACTGATCTTGATATTGTCCCGCCCATTGAAGCATACGGCGCGCCTTATTGTGAATCAGTGCAACCTCACTGTCTGATTGTCTCACTGATGCCTGGTTTCCTGGAACAAGTGGTGCGGATCAACTGGAAGAGCCTGCGGTAATTGACTACTGCTCCTGCCTTCTTCATTTCTTGAGCCCTACTAGTCCACCAGGTTTCCTTGTCAGCACGTAGACACCGCTTTAGTTCGCGCCTAGTAGCCCGTCTGGTCACATTGTGCTCAGAGCCAGCCGGGAGGTGTCTTCTAAATTCTAACAGGTGCACTGACCTTTCGGATATCTAGTGACTGGTGTGCTGACCATTGATAGTGCCACAAGCAGGTGCTCCTTCGTCGTGCATGGCGGCCGAGATCCTATTACACTGAAGCTCAGTGTCATTAACACAAGGGAGCGGTGCGTCTTGATAGTCTTGCCTGACCGAGGGCTGAGACAGTTGCTCAGTTGCCAATCGGAGAAAACGCTTGGCACGCCTCCGGGTAAAGTTCATGGAGAAACGACAGTGTACCGAGGCATGATCAGAGTCGACACAGGTATTCCAGTACGAAGGGCAATCCAGAATGGAACCAGACCACCTGTAACTTATGGCTGTGTGGTCTGTTTGGGTCCTTCGCTGGCTAGCTACAGGAGAACGCCAAGTGGCACTTCTGGGCTCACTGTGTCTAAAGACAGTGCTGCCAATAAACCACTGGTGCTCCGCACACAGTTATAGCAGACGCTCGAAGTTGTCAGTCCGTTCGGAGTTAAGCGCAGCTGAGCTTCTGAAGAGCCCATACGCCCTACATGTTCATTCATATCCCCTGCACGTACTATGCTATCAGAACTAGAAACACTGCATAGTTAAGTTCGTGATATCATGTGTCTCTGACAGCATTAGAACTGCAGTCGGCGGGAGCATAAGCGGAACTCACAAACAAACAGCGTTTTGTACTACTTCGTTTATCAACCTTGGCTGATGTCGTCAAACGGACTGCATATAAACGACTCTTTACCAGAATCAAATCAACCAACGATGGCTCAGTCTTGGACCTTAGAATGATACCTACACCAACTTGACCCGTGAGAGCTGCATCGGGGTCTCCGGATGCGTGCATCCAATAACGAGAAGATAAGCCGGGTGCAGTTAATTCAACAACCTCATTAGGGTCATTGATCCTAGTTTCGGACGCACAACGCACATCAATGTCTAGTGTGTCCAAGGTGAGTACAAGTGCAGTCTGTTGAGCTATTTGCCTTAGAGTACGAACGTTGAACGCCGCCATGGAAACTGGACAGCGTGGCCTTATAAGGGGCTGTTGCCGATAAGCGTCCGATGGGTGTTGTAGAAGGTGGTTATAGATGGTACTACTCCAATGGCACTTCCGTTGCTATCAACTAAGCTGGGAATTACAGAAAGAAGGCTAATAATGTGGGTTGGGATTGGAGTAAGAGAAACAGGTGGAAAAGAAAGAATGGAGGTACCAGCATTGGCATGTATCAGCTTATCCGCCCTCCTGTATGCAGCAGATAAGGCGACCCTTGATAATCTGCGCGACGGCCGATGCAGGATGAAGTTTATGTTTGAAGAAAAAGCCATACTTGTATGTTGACCGAGATACTGTTTAGACCTAGGCAAGAAAACGATTAGGGTCGTCAACCAAAGCCTTTGACTCCAAAGCCTGTCCGCAAGGCAGCAATGAGGTGGCAATGAGTTAGTTTTACAGAAATGGACGCCATCCAATTGCAAACCCCCAACCTGGAGGACCAGAAGACTGAGTTTCTCTGACCTCTCACCACTGAAGAACCTGGTAAGAGTAGCTCTCAAGGGACCCGTAAGCGCCACCCAGTATAGCTCAACGAGTCAAAGAGGGACGCAAACCGTCGCACTACGTTAAGGTTCAAGCTAGTTGTGATGGCAAACAAGGACCTAAACTGGGATTAAGCGTAAGGAGCATAGCACCTACAAAAAGACGCAGGGATATTAATAAAGGAATCAAGTGCAATGAAGTGCTTTCTACTAAAGGAAAAAGGGACAACCTTTATTTTAATGTGCGGGTGAGGATCATAGTTTTACTTTCGGGTATGACGTGTCTACAAATTATCCAAGGTGCAAGCTCATATATAGATGACCAAATTTCACTATGAACTTAGTGGTGAAAACTGAAATTGAGTGCACATACCTACCTACCTTTCTCCGCGACAAACACTTTTCAAGCGATTCATTCTCCAACCATAATTTTGTTAGCCAATAAGTTCCCCAAAGTTACAGCTTAAATATAATTGCCTGATGGGCTTCCTCAAAACATAATCCAGGCGCAGCTATGAACTTCTGATTTCATAGAGATAGTTCATAAAACGCGCATAGATTCACCTATTGGTGGAATGCTTCCTTTTTTCTGGGTATAATTCGAGAATAGAATGCATGGCCAAAAAGTTGCAGCGTTTAGTTGCATGCTTAGTTACGAAAAACGCTGCATCAAAAGCGAGGGTTGCGTGGAAAACAAAATTATATTTAGTAATAATATATTAGCAGTTTCCCCTTGCTTTGTAGTTGTTAAGTTCGCAGTGGCTATGTACTCGCTACAGCTTGTCAAATGGCCGCAGGTAACAAAGCAGAGAAGATAAGACAGTAAATATTTGCATAGTTCGAAGTTTAGATAGTGTAAAAGTAAGTTATTGGACCTACAATTTCGTTCGGTGACACTATACTTAAATAAAACAATTCCAGGTTGTTGTCAACCAACCCGTAAATACGATTATCTGCATCCGCACTGACGTACTATCTGTACTTAAATACGCACACAAACATTAGTTGACAACCTGATTTTCATATTCCTGAATATTATATATGTATATTTATATACATATAAATATGACAAACAAGCGAAAAACAGACAAAGATCATGAATTCTCACTTGTTTTGCCCATTCTGGCGAAACGTGTTCATGCAGTGTGTTTACTTCCGGAATAAGATCAAAGATCGATTCGAAATGTTCGACAGGTTTTGATAAGTTATCACGTAGAAGCGGGTTATTTTTATGAAACTTTTCAAGCAGAAGCTGGTCCCCAACGCTTGCCAGACTTGCGGGTTGACAAATCTTTTCAGGGACGGACTGTTGGACACGGGGAGTTGTTGTACCTATAAGGTGCCATAAGGATATTTAAAGGAAAACAAACTTTCACAAGCAGCTGGCTTTTGCGACGAATTCGCTCCATTGTGATTGATAGTCGCTCGTCTTTTGTCGCTTACCAGATGATGATCTAGTATGCGACCTAAATATTTTGATATAAAGTCATAGGCAGATTCGCAACCGAAGCCAGAAGAATTTATAAGCTGAACAGCAACATCCAGAGGTAGGTAAACGAGAAAGTCCTCAACCAGTTTGTTCTGTGCCCTATTATCGCCGTACAACTCCGTCCCCTTTTCTACCATTACTGTTGAATCTTCAGAGGTTTGACGCTTTTCATTTTGCCAAATAGTGCGTATTACATCCAGTGTATCCGTGAAAGTTGTGGACGACGTGTTGTCTTTAACCTCATTCATACAACATAACAAAATAACCAAGGGGGCAAAACATCCTTTATCTTTTGCGTCAGCGCATATATCGTTTATGCGGCTTCGGCAAATATCAAGTAGATTATTTCGTCCTTTCATACGTAAAAATTCAGCACACGCAAATATAAACGCAACATTGTACATGTTTATATCAATGTCTTTGTCATAGCAATGGTCGGCAATTAGTGAGAACATCTTTGATCCTCCAGGAAAATTGGCAAGTTCACAAACATGATTGCTAGCAGCTAAATCTTTGAAGTATTCCGACTTAGTATAGAGTGGAAATTTATGCAGCTTGAATCGATCCTTTTCAACATAAACGGTAAAATCAGAGAGTTCGCCAGTGTCTCGCAGGATTCTGGGATCCATTCGATGAGCACTATTTAGTGTTGCAAGAAAACTGGCTCGTCGATAGGCTTAAGCACAATATGAAAATTTTCGTAGGGAGGGGTTAACGACAGCCATCCAAAGCAAAAAGCAGTGGTTTGGAAAGAACCGGATGAGCAGCAAAAATCCTTTTTTCCCGGTTTAAGTAAGTCAGACTATCCGTGTATATTACGGAATAAAAGGAAACAGCTGAGAGTAGCCTAGGGAATGGTTTGCTCACGTAGACTGTGAATAGCAGGATGCGGTTTCGGATAAGTTAATCCGCAAATAATTGCACAGTAATGTACCACCTTATATACACACACAGATATATATGAACCTTGAAGGAATTTACAACCGAGTTGTAGAGCTAATAACCGTAGGCGGCTACAACCATTACAAAGCAGCGCTTTAAATTATTTGCATTTGACTCATTAAATTTACCTTGCTTTTTTGTTTGGTTACTTGTTTCAGGGTCGTTAATATCAGTGACAAGTTTCGCATTAGTTTACGTTTTCATTTGTCGATCTATGGGTATTTTGCTTATCCCTATTTACTTGTTTGGATGATTTGACCGACCGGAACTGATACCTACAATAAGACATTTATAATACGCCTCACAGAAGCTGAGTGTCTACATCTAAACCACAGGTACTTGTATTATAAATCACATGGCCAGAAGTACCGCGCAGCGGCTACCAAATATTAACTTCAACGATCCTATCGATTCCACTATTCCAGCCTATATTATAACAAATACAAAAAGGACCACACGTGAAGGTCATATATAATAGACATGTAGACCAAAAAGTTATGGCTCAGGGTTAAGCTATTAGGTTATGTGGATTGTGCTGTTTTAAACCATGGGTATTTATGGAACTAAATTCGTTTTTAAGGAAGTTATCTACGTACCTCATAGTTGTGAGCTGGTTCTGAATTGACACCCCAATATTAGGCATAGATGGGGAAAATTCAATTACGATTAACCGTAAGAGCAAAGGAACCTACGATACTTATCGCTGAAAATGTGAATCCTACATGCAAAGTGTTAAAATGTCACATGGTTGGCGGCATCCGGTTTCGGATTTGCCTGTCACTGTGGCAAGCCACAGGACGCCTGCGTCTACAGAGGGACCATGGATGGCTTGCGCTGCACCACCCACAGCTCCAACCACACACCCCATATCCAGTGTAAACCCGAAGGAATAAAACCGGGAGGCATGTGGATGGGGACCACGTTTCATCAACGGAGCCGGCCCACACTCCTTCACAGGCAAACACAAGCACACTGTATTTGGGAATCAAGCGCACACAAGGCGGTGGCTGGACCGTAGTCCGCTCCACACTGACTGCATGGAACCACTCTTCGAGCCTAGCACGACCACAAGGACCGTGCACCCCGTCCCCTCCAGCAACGACCAACTGTCTCCTGGAGCCAGTATGAACGATGTAGTGGGTAATAGACAGGTAGGCACCTTGTCAACATGCACATCAAGCGCAGTCGCACCGGGGATGTCAAACAACAGCAAATCACTTGAAATGACAGTAACAAATAAAATATATCTGTTAAAGAATATGGCTATGCAGACATAACTCTTCCCTAAATTAGCATATGAAGTTTGTTAGTTAGCGACGAATCCGCGATAAGTAAAAAATGTCCAGAAGTGACTCAGAAAATGCTACAATTACAACAAAGTTAACAAAGATAAGCACAATTACCCTAAGCAACGTGGAAATGTCATAGAAGATTATTCAGGTAAGCAGAACAAACCAGATAAAGTGGAATGAAATTTAGCCAGCTTAAAGAGACCCAGTTTAAGTGTACGTTGGTTTAGCCCAACTGCGGTGAAAAAGCATCATGAATGCAACATCAGCCTCAGCATGGGGCACAGACAATATATATATATATATATATATATATATATACATATATATAATATATATATATCTATATATATATATATATATATATATATATATAGCAACGCAAGCAACTAGTGGTCATGGACTCGGTCCCCAGCAGGGAAGCGAAGGAACAGGCACCACTGGCGAGTCTCAATAGGGCGAAACGATTGTCTGATGCTTTTTCAGCTTAGTCGTTGGCCCATCTAGCTTATATTCTAACTTCGATGAAGTAAACAAAAGTATTTGGTATGTTGAAAAAGTGCCTAGTGAACCGGATAGTGTGATGCACACCACGGTCAATTGCAGAGAAACTATAACTGGCGAGGAGGAAAGTCGGTTATCAAGATTTCTCCCGGCATGCAACCGCAGGCGAATGTCTACTTACCAGAAGAAAGACATTGATAGTGTTTCGGTCGAAGTAGGCATGGTATGTCATACGTTCGATTAGTTTAAGCATTGTGGCTGCTCTGATCACCGGAATCTCGGCACTACTATCTTGTTGATCCGATTCAAATATGATGGTCGTGATCGAATCCGGCGCGGAGAATCGATACACTTCCGGCACACTACATACATACATGGTTGGCGGCATCCGGTTTCGGATTTGCCTGTCACTGTGGCAAGCCACAGGACGCCTGCGCCTACAGAGGGACCATGGATGGCTTGCGCTGCACCACCCACAGCTCCAACCACATACCCCATATCCAGTGTAAACCCGAAGGAATAAGACCGGGAGGCATGTGGATGGGAACCACGTTTCATCAACGGAGCCGGCCCACACTCCTTCACAGGCAAACACAAGCACACTGTATTTGGGAATCAAGCGCACACAAGGCGGTGGCTGGACCGTAGTCCGCTCCACACTGAGTGTATGGAACCGCTCTTTGAGCCTAGCACGGCCACAAGAACCGTGCACCCCGTCCCCTCCAGCAACGACCAACTGTCTCCTGGAGCCAGTATGGACGAGGTAGTGGGTAATAGACAGGTAGGCACCTTGTCAACATGCACATCAAGCGCAACCACACCGGGGATATCAAACAACAGCCAATCACTTGAGAGGGGGAGAAAGAAAAAGAGAGAAGAGAGAAAAACTCGATTAATGCATAATAAAACGTTGACATAAACCTTAATTAAATAGCATACGTAATAAGTTGTTTACAAACACATCCTAGCTAAGTGCACGAGGTCAGGAAGTATAGTTCACGGTATGCCACGAACACAAAAATCTTATGGAAATCGAATACAACTGGCTAAAGCGATATGTGCAAGTTAATGGAATAGAGTACATGGAGATATTTTTTTTTTTGCTTTTCTTTCTTATAAAAATGTCACATAGTTGCTTAAGTATTCTCTTCGGACGGTCGTTGTTAAATTTTATACAGTTCAGGTATTATCCAATGTTAACAATACTTACTGAGGCTGATGAAAGTATAATAAAGGTATTAGTGAAATAATTGCTGTCGAGAAGACCTGATGAATCTTTACAGTAATGTTGCTTATTGTGCGTTACACTCATGACTACTTACGTCTAAGTTTTTGATGATCCATTCCTCCTTCGTAATTGCATACCAGAAGACGTCAGCTCCAAATCTAGTCAGATTATTCTCTTCGAGCTCGCCGCTTTCACCTCCTAATAGGATAAGGGCCAACTTTTCTCTGGCGGAGGTACGACTTGCTTTGTGTTAAGTAAAACAGTGGTATGGTTTTGCAAAGGAGGTAAAATCAAGCATATACTTCCGCGTAAGTTGACAACGACCTTAGAATCAACTACATCATTTTACAATTTTGAGCGCATTGTATTGCTCTCATGGACGGAATTTATCGGGAATAACGGCGAATGCTTTCAATAGTAGAACGCCCATGGTTTAACCCACATCAGATTCATCACTTCGCTATCATTGCCGTTGAGCTACGTCAAGTTGAAGCAGTGTTGGCAGTGTGTCATTACAATTTCCATGTCATTAATACGACCCAAAACATAGTAAGACAGTACAACCGCTAAATCCATGTAACCACCCCATGCAGAAATACGGGTCACATCTTCCAGTATGTACTTCTATCCTTTCCCTTTAGGTACGGATAGGAAGATCTTTGGAGGGAATTGCCGTTCCCGCGGTTTACAGTGTTTGGAACTCTGCCTGCGTGTTCAGCTAGCTTTCTTGAACCGGAAGAACTGTTGGTGGTTATTGCTTAGTTCCTCGCGGACAACAACGGTGGCCTGGGAGAACGAACTCATATGTCAAAGTCGAGCGAGATATGACAAAACCGGAAGCACGGGGGTTGCTGTTATCCTCCTTCCTATACTTGTTATTATAGGTCGCGCAGAAACTTAGTGCGTGAGCAGTTTGTTGCTCATATTTTCACGCCGACATAGCACGTTTTAGCGTACCACTAGTTATTATAATAATCTTCCTTGTCGGTAATGTCGAGACGATGCGCCCACCAAAAATGTTCGACCCAGCTCTCGCTCTTACAGAAAGGCTAGTTACCAGTTAAGTCTGAGACATCAGGTACGACAGGCAAGAGGAAAGGATGCATAATCTGCGGCGATTGAATCAGTGGTTTTCCTTCAGCTGTCGAAATAGACTGAACCGAACTAGCCACTGACGTGCTATCAAGTATATCGTTGTCGACAGACTGGGAAGTTAGCTCAATATTGGATAGACATGGTCCACACTTTGTGCAGAGTTATCATCCGTGGTCAGTCAGTCCCCGCCTTTTTATTACCACTTTACTGGGCCAATCAAGCGGGTAGTTGATTGCAACGAGATGTTGTACGCATTACCTACCATGAGCTAAATACATCCTTACTACACTCAACACAAAATATCTATGCAGCCACTGCTACCTTCACTGATAGCTTCTACAACATGTACCATGTGGTCTACTTTCAGGTGATGAATGACGCAAAACCAAGCTCTAGCATAAACACGGCGGCTCGAGCAAGATGGTAAACAATGATACACAACTCTGATTCTGGAATACTTGGAGCCAACCATTAAACCCGGGTGATGCATCAACAAAAGTGCTATAGCTATTCTCGCAAATAACTCAAACAAGGCAAATTCGTAAACATCACGCAAAGCTAATCATTTGAGGTTAAGGTCTTAGAAATACAATGGCTGATTTCCATGAAGTGCTCGATGATTTTATTTACACTCAAATCGACAAAACTGGTGATGCGTTCCCCTT